TTTAAAAACCCCAGTTTTCAGCCAAATGTAAACTAACAAATTTAACTGCAAAAAGCCACCAACGCAAATGCCTAATACTAATCAAAATGATGAGAATACTGTTCAGAGTTTTGTTTAAAAGCATGGAAGTGGCAGCTGAAAAAAAGATGCAAAAATATGCAAGAGTGGGTTCTTAAAGCTCATCTAAGGATTAGATTTAAGAGACAAAGTGTAAATAATTAAAAATGAGGACTGATATTAGCTAAGATATAACATGCCACATAAGTCAAAGCAACAAGTCAGTCAAAGTCCATATCAATGTCTCAAAAAAAAAAAGAAAATAAAAAGAAAAAAAGACTCCTAGATTAAGATAAAAGGCTTGTTTTACCCTGGTGAACCTTTCCCCACCAATAACTGTTTTCTTCGTCATTATTGACAGCCTTTGAGATGGATCCAATAGAAATTACCACACAAAGGATGACTTATCTGTGCCAAGTTAATCCATCCTAGACATGACAGAGCTCCAGAAGTAACACCTAACAATCTGACAGGCAATGAGTTCAGCCTACATTCAATGACATTCTGAACTTAAGACCTATTACTAGGTTGGCTAGAAAACAATGTTAAAGCAATAACAAATTTAGCAGAAAAGACTGCAGTCAGATTTGGGTCTGCATGGAGCACTGTAAAGGTGCAGCCTGGCACCAGTGATGGATGGGCTGCTCTGAACTGACAAGCTGTATAAAAGAAAGCCAAAGACAAGAACATTCTACAGGTTAGAATCTGATGGAGAGAAATGGAGAAATTCTGTTCTTGGAGGAAGCCTATCAGTGTTGGGTAGTATTAATCTCAGCTGGTTTTACACCTCGGTTGTGTGTGTACTTTGCCATTTCAAAAGTGTCTGGAAGCAGTGAAATATTTAGAATCATATAATTATTTAGGTTGAAAAAGACTTAAGATAATCAGGTCCAACCATTAACCTAGCATTGCCAAGTCTTCCACTAAACTAGGTCTCTAAGAACGACATCTACTTGTTTTTTAAATATCTCCAAGGATGGTGACTCAACCCAGGGCAGCCTGTTCCAGTGCCTGACACTGTTTTCAGTAAATAAATGTTTCCTAATATCCAATAAACCTACCCTGGCACAACACGAGGCCATTTCCTCTTGTGCTGTTGCTTGGTACTAGGGTGTAGAGACCAAGCCCTGCCTCGCTGCACCCTCCTTTTGGGTAGTTGCAGAGCACAAGGGGGTCTCCCCTCAGCCTCCTTTTCTCTAGGCTGAACAATCCCAGTTTCTCAGTCACTTCTCAGAGGAATTGTGCTCTAGACGCTTCACCAGCTTTGTTGCCTTTCTTCGGACATGCTCTAGAACCCCAATGTTCTTGTGGTGAGGGGCCCAGAACTGAACACAGTATCCAAGGTGTGGTCTCACCAATGGCGAGTACAATGGCACGATCACTTCCCTAGTCCTGGTGGCCACACTATTGCTGACACAAGCCAGGATGTTGTTGGCCATCTTGGCCACTCTGCTGGCTCATGTTCAGCCAGCTGTCAATCAACACCCCCAGGTCCTTTTTCTCTGGGCAGCTTTCCAGCCACTCTTCCCCAAGACTGGAGCACTGCATGAGATTGTTATGACCCAAACGCATGATCCAGAACTTGCCCTTACTGAACCTCATACAACTGACCTGAGCCCATCAATCCAGCCTGTCCAGATCCCTGTGCAGAGCCTTCCTACCATCAGGCAGATCAACATTCCATCCCAATTTCATGGCATCTACAAACTTCCTGAGGGTGCATTCTATCACTTTGTCCAGACCATTGATAAAAATATTATCAGAACTGGCCCAAATACCTAGCCAATCCTGCCCTGTGGCACACTTCTCTCTCCATCCGCTTCCCTCCTCTACAGGTGGGAAATGCAATATGCTTCCTGCATCCAAACCACCAACTATTGCAATGCTATTGCTTCATCTCAGCAACATGCTAACTTGGATGTTGCTATGTAATTATTATGTAGGATTTTGGGGAACCACTGGCTCCAGGAGGGAGTTATGCTGAGATAGGGCATCCCATGCCCCTAAGGAAGCACAAAAACATTTTCTCTCTAGCTCCCAGATAGTGGAGGAACGAGGGGAGAGGGATCCTACCTCTTCTCACTTTCTCATTCCCCTAAAGTCATATCATGCAAAAGTCCACCTCTTCCTCACAAATGACGCACTGGACCCTTTTCCAAGAGGCTTAGTAATATTGTAAGTTAAGTACTTTAATATGACTATTAACAATGTTAAAAGATTCTCCTGACATCAGTGATTGCTTAAGGATGCCGACTCACTGCTGCAGAAAACCACAGTGAAAACATACTCTGCCATTCATCCTCCCTTGGGGAAGACTCAGTTTCTTATAAATAGTGCTAAGCAGAAGAAATAGATATAACTGTCAGATGAAAAAATGTAATTACTGAAGAAAAAGTGTAAGACCCCCCCTAAAACATTCCTGAGAGGAAAGAGTCTGATGTTTTAATGTTTTAATTTTTACATTTGCCCAATTTTGTAAACTGGAACTAAAGAAGGTTAAAAAGCTTAAAACAAGTGTTTCACTTGACCCAGAAACTTTTTTTTTCACCTTTTCCATGTTACTGGCAGTAACAGGAATTTAAGGAGCTGCTGCTCTTCCTCCACAAGTAGCCACAGCTCACAGGGAGGCTGCCTGACTTTCTGCCGGTGCAAATACAGAGCAGTCTGTATTTCTTCTACTTGCAGACATTGCAAACAGACTGACAATAAAGCACTCCAATAGAGTGATTAGAATTACTATGATCCATACTATAAAGAGCTCAGCTTCAGGGATACAGCTCTCTCTGACTGAAAATTCATACCCTCTGTTCAACAACAGCCTATCTTCCCTCATATGGCTGTTTTGAGCACAATGGTATTAGCAGTGTGGCCATTTAGTAAACCATTTTCCCTAATCTTCTTGAAATTAAGACACTTGTATTTAATGATGGCCATCACTTAGGCATTCTTTTGATTAATGTTATAGGAAATTATTTCAGATCCTTCTAAGAATCAGGTAGAAGCCTAACATTCATGATATTCCCTTCATACAGATGTAACAAGCTGTGTCTGCCAGCTTCAGTTCCAACTGGGTATTTGCTGCATGAGTTCTTGAGAGATACCTCATGTGAAGACCAACATGGCTTGTTGGATTTCTGCCAAGCTACATTATATTTTTATGCTCTATCTCTCCCCTTATGTCTACCTTTGACAACAGGCAATTGCTGTTTCTGTGCTGTCTCTCAGTTTCTATTACATTACATATAAAACGCACACACATCCATTCAAAAAGGTTACTAAAACAGAAAGCCTGTCTAGTAAATTATTTAAAATGTATGTATACAAACAGTAGCTAGATATCAAATATGAATTCCAATAAGCTTGTCCTACTTCCTTGTTTTCTTTTAGCTAATAACAGACCACAATGCCTAAGCATCTCCTTCAAAAAGAACAATATAAATAAAATTCCCAGTAAAGGTAAAGGAGCTAAATTTGCACCTGTATACACAGAGTATATGCACCTGTACAGCTTTTGTTGTTAATGGTTTCCCTTGTTTAAGGCCTGATATTTTCAAAGCCTTCTCTGCTTGAAGGGTTATTTTTTGTCATGAATATTTAGATTTGGGGATGAAGATTACTGTTCTATTTTTGTAGTGAAATTTCTTCAAAGAAAGCTTTTGAAGTGTTTTCTATGTATGGTAGAAGTACATATTGACAGTACCGTGATTCTCCTCTCTATTCTTAAGATCAGCAGCTGTTAACCTATTTTTATCAACAACTCCATTACTCCAATAAATGCTTTTGCAAAATGTGAATTCTGCTGATGAGATCATTCCACATGAGAGAACTGCTCCTCATGAATTTTTACAAGAAGATTCCAAAACATCTCACTTCAGGAAGTAACTCATCTGCGAAGCCATCCTCCTCCAACACACAAGGCCGCCTCTTCTTTCCACTCATGCTCCAGGTAAGCACAACCCACTCAGGTCATAGATAGGCATCTCCCAGGCACTTTTATGGCATCCCTCTGAGAGCGTCAGCACCCTAAGGCTTTTGGTGGGCTCCACAATATGCTAGGATGCCACTACTACATACAGAGCCCAACATAAGGGCTCAGAACTGGTTTTCCCATGTCAGATGCAATCTCAGGTATCTTCGCTTTCAGATTCAGACAGAAAAAATGGTAACAGCATTTTCTGACTGCAGCAAGTACATAGACCAACATCACAAAGTCAAGGAGGACAGGATGGAATTTCCAAAGCGAAATATGGTATTGGGAACTCTCTGTGTCTCTAGAAGCATGAACTAGGAAGATCCTGACCCAGCCTTCCTACTCTGACTACTTTCATCCTTCAGACATTCACATAATGCTGTATGAGCTGTGGGCACAGTGCCAAATTATCCCCCAAGAAATACTAAGGAAGGACAAAAAATACAGTGAAACTTTATTCCTTCAAGTGTAAGAATTGGGGCAGCTCTGGGCAATTTCAGACCGAACACTAGAAGACATGACAGGACATGGGAAATTCCACTCCTTGACCTGTGGAAGGAATATAGTTTGGCCTGTCAGACTGCATCAGTTATTTCATCCTCACTGGAGGATCTGCCATATACTTCCACTTTGTGTCTGATGCATCTCTACTCCATAGTCCCAACAAAGAACTTCAGAATCTAGTAGGTTTTCAATAGATAAATGAATATGGGTGATACAAATTTCTCACAGATGTATGTTTTATGACTATGATATGCATACTATGCATACGAAGGGCAAGAAAGCAGAATATTAAACTCATCCAGCTACTTTCTAGTTTTCACACTGTGCTTTTTACCTAGTCATTGTTTCTGTATGGAACAAACAGTACATGTATATGGACTTGATCCTCATGCAGTGTACACATTAACAATTTTTATTTTTATTTTTTAAATCTCACATGTCTATCAGGCCCCATCTTTGATATACCTACCAATAAAACCTGATGAAGGAGGGTTGGGTTGTATCTTCTCTTTAGTGTTCTCCTGAATGATGTCCCAGAGCTGCCATATAAACTTTGGATGGAGAATGTAAAACGGCTGGTTTGGATTTTTTCTGCGATGTTGTACATATGGAGTGAAGAGATTGTAATCTGGCTTCTTATACCACTGGAAACAAAAAAAATAAGATTTTTTTTTTTTTTCTAATCTTATGGTATCCAATGTGTTTTGAACACTAGATGCTGAATAATGTGAACTAGTTCTATTCGAGTTCTTCAGAACAAAATAAAAGATTGCAAAGCAGCTTGCACTGGTGAATGCATCTCCCACAAAGCCAGTCGTCACTACAGGCTACTGTGCCTCCTTTCCTCAGACTCCCAATAAGCAATTTACTGCAGCAGGACAGGACAACCCCACCTCCTACTCACACGCCTGTGTTAAAAATGGGGTTCCAAGAGTAGTGAAGAGATTGTAATCTGGCTTCTTATACCACTGGAAACAAAAAAAATAAGATTTTTTTTTTTTTTTTCTAATCTTATGGTATCCAATGTGTTTTGAACACTAGATGCTGAATAATGTGAACTAGTTCTATTCGAGTTCTTCAGAACAAAATAAAAGATTGCAAAGCAGCTTGCACTGGTGAATGCATCTCCCACAAAGCCAGTCGTCACTACAGGCTACTGTGCCTCCTTTCCTCAGACTCCCAATAAGCAATTTACTGCAGCAGGACAGGACAACCCCACCTCCTACTCACACGCCTGTGTTAAAAATGGGGTTCCAAGAGTCCTGACACAAGATCTGGGCATGCGGGTGAACTTTCCTCTCTAAGTGTCACCAGCACATGAAGCAGCCTGACAGCAGCCTGCATAGGAGGCAGGCAGCCTCTGGCATCTGTTGCTAAGGGAGTTCAGGAGATGAAGGTTTACTTTCTACTTTTCAGACTGCTCAGCTCCAAGTTCCCCTTGCCAAGCACCATCAGATCAACTGGTCCACTGGAGCTGCAGCACCAGCCAAAGAAGAGACTCCCCCAGTGACAACCAGATGGACGGATGTCTGATGCTCTCGGCAAGGGGGTGGATGGTGAGGCACAGATGGCTGTGGGGGCGTGGGCACAAAGGGAAGACTGGTGAGGAGGAGGCCTGAGAAATCAGGAAGGCACCAAGAGAAATTTTCGCTATGGTATTCTTTTCTGCCTGGGAAGGCAGTGGGGAAGATGGGGAAAAATGGATACACTGTTTCACCTTTCTTGATAAAACCTCCTTCTGAAATCTAGCAACATTCCCTCTTTGGCAAACACAAAGAAAACTCACTGTTATGTGAAAATACTGATACTTTATTTTAAAAAACCAAACATATCCAATCTATCCTAGAATCTATGAGCAGTCCATTCCAGTACAAGGGCTGGCTACTAAAAGGTTTTGACCAGTAAACTAATTTTGACCGATTCCTACAGAAATAGCATTCCCTGCTCCTTAGATAAAAACAGACTTTGGGGTTCACTGTGACAACTGAGAACCAGGAGACTGCAGTACTAAATACATTCTTTTTCTCCAGTGCTTTCAGACTGATTGACAAGAAAGGTCCATGCTGGCATCTTACCACATTCAGATTTGCAGAGTAGGGGGCAGGATCCCAGGCTACTAAGATAACATCTTTGTACAAGGAGCTGTCAACAAAGTGATGGTTTGGATTGGTGAGAATCTGCAAACACAGATGCAAAGAATTGCACATCGTTACAAGCAAATGGGATCCAGAAAAAAAAAATAAAATCCTTCTCTAAAATGAACAGTCCTCCCCACGCTGCTGTTTGTAGCATTTTAATTCTGGTTGATTTTAAGCATCTTGTTTTGTTACCGAAAAAGTATTTAAAAAAGGAGCTTAGGCATAAACAGCACTCACGACAGTTTGAAATAGCAATGTGCTGAATTACTCTCCATCTGTGAGGGGTGTGATGGGACCACTTGAGATGGTGCATAATTGTTTATAAACACTACTACTTATTCTGGAACTTGAAAATGAAAGGTACATTATTTCAGACCGCCCATAGGATCCTTGTCTTGGACACAGAGCAGCAGCCTTCTTTGAAAGGGTACAGCCTCCAAGGACAATGTTTTCTTTGTTTTATTTTTTTTAAAGCTGCCCCTTCCCTGCCCTCTCCTCCCATTTTAGTTGCTTTATCATTTCAACAGCAATACAGTCTCATTTCAAGTAACTCCAAAAATGCAAACTAGACCATGAGTGTAAAAGCTGGTATATCTAGAAAAATAATTTCAGGAACAGGTGCATGACTGGGCTATTTTTGAAGTAACTATCATATTACTCTGATTTACTGCTCTCATATAACACTCTCTCACAAGTCCTGTTACTCTGCCTAATCCTCCCACCCCACTGGAAGCTTGCTCTTCACACCTGCTGTCTCTTCCCTACCTGGATTCTGCATGCCTCACCAGATCCCTGATCCCTGGTGCATACAATCTCAGGCAGGATTGAGGTGAATGATTTCGATATTGGTTGAAACAGCATGGATTTGTCTCCAGCTGTTAAACTAATCAACATTCCAGACAAATAAATTCATACTAATTTTCATTTCCCGTTAGGATCCAATGAGCCATATTTGATTATGCATATTTTTCTTCAGAAAAATAATATTGTTGCCATAGCAATATTCTTCCTACCATAAACTTGAAGCTTAATGACTTTCCATCAGCCTTCTACAAGAATGGAATTAGTCATCAGCATCCCTAGCTCCATTTCTCAGAGCAGTTTTCAACTGAGAATGTAAACTCCTTTTTTTAAGAGTACTAAGTAAACAGACCAAAAGGTCAAGCTTCTAAAAGCTTGGTTCTACACTTATCATACAAAGGAGCTCTTATTTGCCTTTCAGTAAGCAAGAGTCCTTTGGAGGTGCCTCCACAAACTTTGCTCCTAGTGAGTCTCCATTCATATGTATGAGATTAATTTCTTCTGGATTAACAATCTGTTGTGGCTGTACTGGCTTCCTTCAAGTCCTTTGGGCTTTCACAGAAGAAAACATAAGGGATGAAGAGGGCCACAGCAACCTTTAAGCAACTGAATGAAGGAATTTACAACAGTGAGGAAGGAAGGAGGGTCAATAAATCTGTATGGTAACCCATCTTGAGGATCAGTAGAGAAAGCAGCTTTGCCAAGTGGGCTGTGCAGATTTCTCTCTTAGGGAGAGGAAAGTCAGTTTCTCAGCAGGTGGCCAGAGCATCACAGGGATCTTCTGAACACTTTGAAGAAGCAGAAAGGTGGTGAGAATATGAACACTTGTGTGGACTGTGTGTGAGGTGACTTGGCCTGAATTTTAGCCATGCTCTATTCTTGAGAGGCCTTGTGGAAAGCAAACAATGCACAGTGGAGAAGACCCTCCATTACCAGCTTGGTGGAAGGGTATCACAACAGCTCTGAGATCCAGAAGGACCCCAGCCTGCTGTGAGCAGTGGAAAGCAGCAAATTAACCTGTTTATCTCCTCAGCAAAGTCAGAGAGACTAACAAAGATTACATCACTTCCTAGAGGCATTTTTGTCTCTCTTACAGGGACCCTGCTGAGACAAGTCCACTAAATAGTTTCTAAACCAGCCTCCTTGCCTGGCACAGGAGTTCAGGCATGGTGAGCACCAGGACATTTTGGCTAACAGTGAACTTAAGACTAGTCAAAGAAAAGAGAAAAAAAATGAACAAAAACCAAGAAGAAAAATAAATTACATTAAGATCAGTGTTCTCCAATACACTGATTTCAGCACTAAAGCCAGAGTAATGTATTTCTTCTTTCTTCCCCTCAGCAAAAGAAAGTGGTCATATTTGACCCAGATCACTTCAAAGATCTAGTCTGTCCTGCAGCCTCATGAAGAGCTACAAAACAAGAGTGAAGGGCATGACAGTGAACAGTCCTCTCCGTGGTGGCAAATAACACAAACTTGCACACATTGAGAACACAACCACCAAAGACAGGCTTTGCATGGATGGTCACTCAAAGAACAAGAAAAAGAAAAGAAAAAATAAATTCATAACAATAACAGGAAATGGAAATTTTTCTCTCATTCAGCAACAATCAGAATGTGTAAAACATGCTACATCGCCAACCATATAACTGGTGTTGACTAAGTAAACTCACAATTTCAACATGTCATAACATTTCATAGTAATTCTGCTGTTGCTTTTTGGCTGTGTTTCATAAAGAGGAAGGAGCCTTGGTTTGGCCAAGACCAGAGTTTAGAAAAGTTCTTTTAAAACTGAAAAACTACTCTCAACCATAAGGTGTCACTAGAGCTTAATATACAATTATTTGTTGACAACCATATGCAAAAAATCCCATTTTCTGCTTCCATTCAGATGAACAAACTCACCTTACATGTAATATCCACTGTACATTGAAGGTTTTTACTAGTTCATTCCAACTTTTGAAAGAATGATGACATGCCTAACATTATGTATTGAGAGAACTCAGTTCCCATTTCTTTCACCTTCCAGCAAGGAAATAATTGGGGAACTGGGGAATATTAGAAAAGAGCTTTGGGATCCCCACAGCCCAGGCTTTATGAAGATCCCAGAGGCAGTGTGTTGAAGGTCTTCTGTACTGATGGTTCTGGCGTCCTGCAAAGCCTTTCCAGATGTAGAAGATATGAGAAACTTGACAAACAAGTTATTTGAAACTTGGATATCAAGTAACTACTGGAATCACTCTACACTGACAGCAGTGTGAACATCCCTGTAAGGGAAAACTTTTACCTGGTCTACATCATGACTTTTAAATCACTAGCTGTTTCCCAGATTACCAAACACTTTCTCAGAAGTTATTCATTTAATGGCATATTGTAGAAAAGTGACACTGACTTGAATTCATAAAAAGAAGATCTTACCTGAGAGTTAATGATCCGCATGGTTGTCTTATTTCCAACATCTTTTTCGTAGCCACGTGTTGGAGCAGAATTAAATCTTAGAACAGCATCATGAGAATCTAGAAGCATAAATGAGGGGGTAGTTTTTATTTTTCTTTGGATTATAGAACAGTGAAATGAAACAAATTATATAAACTAATGTGAAACTTACACATTTATCCTAATCTTGATATTCTGAGGATAATAAACATTCTACTATGTGCAAACAAAAATCCTCTTGCATCTGCCATACATTATTAACATTATTAAAACCAACCAGAAAAAAAGTTCACTAGACTCTATTAATTTAGCTTGCAAAATTTAAATATTTCTCTTAATTGGAGAATTACTTACTTTAAGGTGATTATTATTGCATCCAGTACACACTATTACTCACTACTTCTGTTGCAAGATTTACAAAGAATTACTCTATGCAAAAGCACATTAATTGCAAGGTGTCACAGTTTGACCCAGGACAGACAACAATGCTCTTGATCCCCTCCCATCCAGGTAGGGAAGGAGAGAGAGATGAGATTTGAATGAGTAACAACACCTAACTATAACCATATGCTTCACAGTTTTTTATAATGCCTGAAAACCTCAAACTAACCCAAAACCTATTCACCATACCATGTACTTACTCTCAAGGCCAGTATAAGTCTTAACAAGTCTGTGTAAGGAAGTCAGCCCACAAATTTGATCACATACAGAAATGCAAGGATCCCTTGACAGCAAAGATGTAACAGAGCTGAACTGTCAAAGTTTCCCCACAAGCTATTGACCTTTTAGTCATACAGAATAGAAAGCAGCCATAGGTCAAGTATGGGTCAAGGGTAGACACTATGTACAAGCCTCTACTGGATAAAAGATAACGACCCTCCCTGTGCTTCTTTTAAGAGGAACTTAAAGCCCAGAAAGGTGTCAGGGAGAGTAAGACATTATACTTATTGTCTACAAACACAGTTCCTGTCAGTAGTCCCCTATTTCGATTACTTTTATCCCTTCTATTGAGGAAAGAAGAGAATATCAGGCCAAAATGGGCACATAATGCCTTAACCCTTAGGCAGTTTATACAGCTGTCTGTCTCTAGTCACTTCAGCCATGGTTGTCTATAGTTCAAAAAAGGAGAAGCCAGAAGTTTCCAAAGATAACCAACATGGTTCAATGGAGTTCAGGCCCGATCCTATCAAACTGAGCTCTTCCATCCTTTCACACCTTTGCTTCACACTTCTTGTATTTCAGACACAAAAATGTGTGACATGAAGCCAGTAGTTCAATCTCAGCCATACTTGCTTGCTTGAACATGTGTCTGAGAAGTGAGATTGTTGCCAAATGTCCATTAAGTCCAGTTCCTCAGAAGCTAAGGAGAGGACGTTTTTTATTATGTCCCCATGCAGGGACAACCCTAGTCTCAACATCTAGACTTTGTCTGTCTAAATATAAACATAGTGACTATGTAGGAGCTACAGGACATGAAGTCATGGAGACAAGGTACTTCACATTTTTGCAGAAAGAAAATAAAAACAAAGGTCCTTGATATTTGAAACCTGCTTATGAATTTAAGAACATATTTAAGACCCATATTTGACAACTTTTTGACAATATGTGGACTGAGTACTGGGAATCGGGTTGAGAAACGGAAATTTTAAGTTTCACAACTTAATTGAGAGACAGTGTGTTGCTTTTCCAACATTAGCCATGCTGGTTCTTCGTAACAAGAGTAAAAATCTTTCCTTCATCATAAAACATACAATCAGGACAGTGTGTAACACTGATAACAGCTGAGTTTTAGTCAACTTATTTTAATCTTATTAACTATTTGGAGATAAAAAATTTAAAGATATAAAAAGTTTGGGTTTTGATTGCAGATCATGATGATGCCAAAATACTTGGGTCTTACATTAAATGGGATGATCATGATGAGAGTGTTTGCTGTACTTGCACAGTATTTCCACTCACAGTTTCATGCAAAAACAGAGGGTTAGGAGGGAGGAGGGCAAAAGGCAGAAGACAAATTAGCATTTCTGTCTGCATTTCTAAAAGGAGCACAGAAGAGGGAGCTAAAGGCCTATGAAGGGAAAGGTCCTCTGCAGCTGCTCTCTTAAGCCTTTCCCCGCTTCTGGGAGGATAAACAGTAAAAGCCAAGGCTGTACTGCCCATAACCCAAAAACCAGAACTCGTCCATGAGGTGTTTTCCTCCACTCCGAATGATGCTGACTTTGCTGTGCCCGTGGACACGGAGGAGGCCAGCACAGGTGCCAGGCTGGCTCCACAGAGCAGCACCACCAGCTGTTCAAGGTGCCTCTAAAATGGTAGGTTTGCTTGCATTTTCAACCCAGAAAGGTTGAATCCAGGGACTACCAGGTCTCGGGGAAAACAGTCTTCTTCTACAGCTGTGCATGGACTGCAAAAAAAGAGCATCTTGTACAGTCTGTTCTTTCTCTTCCTGGTCAGACTCTTCTCAGTTTGTCAAGGACTGGAGGAGAGGCAGAAAGGCAAAGCTAAGTGCTCAGCTGTAACACGCACTGTTTGGACTCTGCAGGGTCAGCATAACTTCTTCCCCATGACAACACAAATGGATGCTAGAGCTTTCACTTCCCATTTTAAGTGGGAAACACTGGCATGATGTTTCCAGTATACTAGCACTTCCCAGGAGCTGCAATGGCCACCAAGACCCATAGGTTTGCACCAAGCCCTTCTGGGATGGCTGTAAGCAGCCAGCTGCCCCTCCACCAGATCTGGACCAAATTCTCTGCTCACTCACTTACAAGTACCTGCCTATGACCTGGAAGACACTTAGAAAAAAACATCTTCTGTGACTTCTGCTGCCCCACACACTTTCTTGTACAATAGGTAGGACGAAATCTAAAACTTCAGTGTAGGTCTTACCAAAGAGTATCTCCTCCTTTAGGTGAAACCAGGTAACAATTCCCTGATTAAACAAAAAGCTCTTCCTCAGACAATGGCATATGCTTTCTGTGTCCATTCCTGTGGGTACACACAGGAGTGTGTGGGCCCAAGGTGCCATGTCAAAAAATGTCATCACAGTCTACACCTGGGCTACAAATATGTCACAGTATATGCTGTAATATATAAATATGTAAGTATGTCACAGTGTGCGATGGATTCTCCAGTACACTGGCGTAAATCAAATGTATTGGGCAACACTGACAGCAGACTATTTAGTTTCAGTCAAGGCTAACACACTGGAGAAGGGGGTAACTGTTAAGCTATTTCACTCCAAAGATTTCTGTACCAGTGGCACTTCCTGTGAAACTGGCGGTCACCCTGGTGTGACTTTAGCTGCATGTCAGGCTAGGCACCTGTGCCGTGCTGAAAGCCTATTAGAATAGCTTGATAATGACAGCAGCTCTAATATATCCCAGAGATTTAAAAGAAACCCATCTGTGTCAAAGAAATGATACAGTGCTACCAAGCAGGTATCGCAATGTGAAGTCCTGGAAGATGGGAGGATTATTGAGTGCACATCCAAAGGCTTTTATAGTGAGGGAGATAGCTCTTCTTGCTCCACAAGCAAGTTTGGGACATACATTTGATCCTTCTTTCAGTGTTCCTAGCATACCACACATGTATTACTAAAAGAGCTACTGAGGCATTAACATGAATAGCAGCATTCATTTTTTAAAAGAAAAAATAAAACTGATCTGGACTAGTTTTATGGCTCCACAATCCTTTTCTGAATAGCTACCACAAAACTCCCACCTTGAAGTGGGCAATTCCATGTGGTGTTCATATCACAGCACACCGACAACCTCACTGACTCAGTGCAGCAATGGAAAAATCGATGGGAGGAGGTACCTGAACCCATTTAAAATCACTTTTGAAAAAAAGGTCAGGGACTTTACCTCAGTGCATGAGGTTGCTCAAGGGTCTGGCTTCTATATGTATATGAACTCTAAAAATGCAGGAGTTGAAGAGGATGCTCTACTGCTTCTTAGCACGGAGACAATGTTCAGTCTGGGATAGCAATCACAAGCAATGTTTTTATGAGCCACCACAAAAGTACAACACAGCTTTGCAAAATAAAACCTGAACATGGCACTAATCTGAAGAAACACTGCAGAAAAATGTCAAATATGGCATGATGATATATGAAGAAAACATTGGCTCCTTTATACTATGAGCTGTAATATGATAAGAAAGAATAATTGTTTTCTTTAAATCAAATTATGCCTTCAGGCCTGATTTTCCTTTCAGTTACACTGTCCCGAAAGGGAACAGCTACAGTCAAGTCCATAAGCTCACACTCATGTAACGCTAGTGAGAGAATAACCAGGCTTTACAGACCTCTGCTTAAGAATGAACCTTCTGAAAGACAAATACATACATGTACACATATGTGCAGATGAATAGATGCATTTCACCCACCTATTTCATCCCCTAGAGAAGAGTTCAGTATTGCACCAGCAGACATAACTACGGCACAGCTCCCAAAGCCATGTGTATACAATTTGCCCAGTGGAATTTGGGGAACGTGCTTTTCCCATCCAAGAGTGGAGAAGGGAGCCTCCTTGCCATCTATTGTTTTCACATTCACCCTTTCTTTTAGCTCACAGAATAGCTGGTCTCCTGTCAACTTGGAGTTTCGCTTCCCCTTGAACCGCACCCCATGCTTATTGGTGCTCAAATAATCTTTCATCGCCTTCTGCAGTCGAGGGTTTAGCATCTTGGAAGAGACATCCCCTTTCCAAAGCTTGTAAAGAAAGGATTTCGACATTGTGGAATATAGCCCATCCCAGTCATCAAATTCATCAAGCATTTGGCTTCTCCTGTGCTTTGCGCTCCTTCTCCTCATTCTTTTCTGATGGTTCCAGTTCTGTAAAATATTAACTTTTGGATTTTCCTCATCAGCTGAGATGAATTGGGCTATTTCTTGAAGGTGGTCGTGTGAACGAGGCTGACCAGCAGCAAATAAATAATCGTCATTCACTTGGTAAAATGCACTTTTTGATTTTCTTCCTATCTGTGATGGAAAAAACGTGTCTTGACTTCTAAAGGCATCTTCCAAGTCAGTCCATTTCTTAATACTTCCAGTCCCTGATTTAAATGTACCCAAGAGATCTTCATTAAGAAGTACCTCATTCCCTTCAACAGCTTCAGAGAATGATGGATCGTGTATGGCTCCCATGATGACCCTCTGCTTGCCCTGAAGGGGTAGAAGCCTCTTAGTTTCAATGTAAGAAAAGGAAATGGGAACTG